GGGGGGGTCTGTAGCTTGAATCCACCAGCTGCTCCTTGGAAACCCTGTGGGGCAGTTCTACTCTGTCCTGCAGGGTCACTATGAGTCAGAATTGACTCCACACGCACGGCAAGGGCTTTGGTTTTAGTTTAACAGAGGAAAAAAAAACCTGCCAGTTAAATTACAACAACTTTTGATTATGAGAGGCATTCATAATTCAGATATAAAAATGTAAAAAAAAAATGGAGACTACAAAGAACACTGGTTTATATTTGCAAATTAATTTAGAAAGGGTGAAAACTGTTCTACTGAATAACATCTAAATTGCAAATTTAGTCTGAATTAAATACAGAAGTATAAAAAAATTAAATAACATAAGTAGTCATTAAATTTTAAAAATACAGAGGTCCTTAGGACTGCCAGAGATGTTACTAACTAATCATTCACTTAATATATTTATTGCATACCTATTTTGAGCCAGACATTATTAGATGTTGGGTGGATAGTAGTGGATAAAACACACGGTCCCTATCCTCATAAATCGTAGTTTATGGGGGACCAGGAAGATAGGTTTTAAATAGTCACACAACAAATAAAAATGAGGTTGCAAGTTGCAGTGAGTACTTTGAAGGAAGAGTACAAATGCTGTGAGAGAACTAACTGGAGTTCTGATTGACATTGAGAAGCTCTCTGAGGAGGTGAGTTAAACTGAAACCAGAAGAATGGGTAGAGCTAGATGAAAAGTAGGCAAAGTAGGACACAGCCTGTGCAAAAGCCTTGAGGAGGAAAGATCTTGGAGTTTTTGAGACAGTGAAGGACGCTCGAGGGTGGATTGGAGGTTGAGGTGACATGAGTTGAGGCAATCCAGATGGTGTAGGGCTTTAGAGGCCTTGTTAAACATTTTGAATTTTAGTCTAAGCCAGGGGGGGATCTAAGCCTGGAGGATTTTAATGGAAGAAGTGGCCCTAGCTCCTCTGAAACCTGGATTGGGTAGGAGTAGGAGTCAAAACATTAGGAGTCTGTCGCTGATTCAGACCAGATTTGGGGGACTTCACCTGGAGTTGTGAGTAGAAGATAAATTTTCTTGAAGATAATTTTCTAGTATTATCAAAAGTCTTTATTTGTATACATTTTGCGATTCCATTTCTGGGCATTTATTCTAAAGAAATAATCTCAGATGTGTCAGAAGTTCAGCTGCTTGTTGAAAAAGGAAAAAGAAGAAGGCAACTAATGTAGACTTTAAGGAGGCCACATCATCCAGGATAAGATATGTTTAAACAAGAGGAGTCTCTGTGTGTTTGGGTGGGGGCCAGGGAGAGAGAGTGAAAATACAGAATGGAGGAGAGATACTCACGAAGCAATTGTAGGGGAGGAGAGACACCTAGGCCTAGAGGGCAGAAGGTAAGCACTTCATTAGGAATGCAGGAGCTGCTGGTGTAAAGATGCACTGCCTTTCCACTTTGTGGCTTAATTTTTGAGAACTAGTCTGGGAGCCTAACCATACCTTGCAGCGTTGTTCCTGGAGGAGAAAACTATTTGCTTTTCAAACAAGAGACTTGCAAGTGACTTTTTGGTATGGGCTCAGCCCATACATACTGTTGCCTGTAAATCTGAGCTACTTTTAGTAAGTATTGCCTGAACAGGATGAGGTTTTGAGAAAACATTTCTTTCTACCCCATCTCCGTCTTTACCTTCCTGTTCTTCATCTCCCCACCTCTCCTTCCCTCCTTTCCCTCTCTCCTCCTTCCTTTCTTCTGCCTCTCTCTCCTCTCTCCCCTCTCTCTGCCTTGTCTTCCCTGCTCCCATCCCCTCCTCCTTCTTTTCTTCCATTCCCACCTCCCTCCCTTCTCTCTCACACTCTTCCCTTTCCTCATGTACACACACGCGCACACACACACACACACACACACAACATTCATATTTTAGAATATAATCAGAGCTGGGAAAACAGCTAACTATGTCTCAGTACATGAGAGCACCTTTTTTATTGTTTTGTTCACCTTCTCATATTGCTTGTATGTTTGTTGACCGTAATATGTTTCTATATGACAGTTTTTTATACCTGTGTGATGGAAATATTTTACTACATATATGGTCTTATGCCCATTTGCAAGTTTCAAATCATACAAAATAGTTATGTGCACTTTGCGTTCCTAAAATATCTAGACCAGTCTCTGACACAGAGATACTTAACATATTGGTCTCCACGCCCTTCAAAGTATTGTTGCTGCAGTAAAACCAGTTAACCATTTTCTTTCTAGTGCATATTTATTTTTAAGTAGATTTTGTGCTGGCTTCACTGAAGATATTGCTTCATAGTTGTGATTAGCTGGAAAATTCCTAGAAGAGTTTGAATTTGACTTTAGTGAGCTCGAGGTTATCATTTCTGGTATTTCCTTGAGTATTTCCTTTTCCTGTCAGTGTAGAAAAATCACTGTTCTGTAGCTTTATAGACTTTTTCAAAATTGTTATTGAAATTAGCTTGGTATTTTTAAAATTGTTGCTCTTCTAGAGGGTGGTTGCTTTATCCACTTCCTTATGAACTGGTCTTTAAAATCCATGTACGTGCCTGTTATGTGTATGTGTGTATCCACATGTGCATATGAGTATATTTTGAAATTAGTGGTTTTCCTGAGCTTGGTGGTTTCCTGTTGCATACAGTTGCCATCAGGTGGATTCCAACTCATCTTGACCCCATGTGTGTCAGAGTAGAACTGTGCTCCATAGGGTTTTGAATGGCTGAATTTTTGGAAGTAGATAGCCAGGCTTTTCTTGCAGGCTGAGTGGACTCGAGCCTCCAGCCTTTTGGTTAGCAGCCAAGTGCATTAACTGCTTGCACCACCCAGGGACTCACTTTACCTGTTAGGCTTTGTAGAATTAATTCTCAAAAGTTACTAGTTTAGAGATGATTTTGTTCTGTTAACTCCACACTATGTCACGGAGTTTAGGTCACAATGTTTGTACCAGATAATTTGTACTCTTTAGATATGGAGGACCCCAAACACTTTGTCATGGAATCACTGTTCTATGAGAATACAATTTAATCATTTAGGCTTTGAAACAATACTGCAGGATCATGGAAGAAGTGCTTAGATTTCACCTAGTTTATTAAATACTTATTTAGCTCATTTCAGAAAATGATCATATCCTCTGCATTCTATCTATATTGACTTGAATTCTTGGAAATACTGGGACAGAGAATAGTAAATAATATTCTAAATATTTGTCTGTTGTATACTTGAGTATGTTAGGGCAATAAAATTAGGAGCAATGTAATATTCATGAATGTATTTGTTAATGCAGTATTTAGTGTCTTAGGATCCATTTTTTTAAGTACTTAGGGACAAAAAACAACGACAAAAAAACAGACCATTGCCATCGAGTTGATTACGACTCATGGCAACCTTGTGTTACAGAGTAGAACTGCTCCATAGGATTTTCTTGGCTGTAATCTTTACAGAAGCAGATCATTAGACCTTTTCTTCCATGGTGCCGCTGGGTGGGTTCCAACCTCCAACCTTTAGGTTAGTAGTCTAGCACAAACTGTTTGCATTATCCATATTATTAGTAAGCCCTGCACCTTCTACATAGAACCTTTTTTTTTAGAACCAAAAACCAAACCCATTGCTATCGAGTAGATTCTGACTCATAGTGACCCTATAGGACAGAGTAGAACTGCCCCATAGGGTTTCCAAGGCAGTATTAAACTCATGTGATGAGGCAGCATACCTTAGTTAAATTTATTTGGGATTTTTAATAATTATCTTTTTTTTTTTAATTTATTTTATTTTCATGAAATATACATACCATCCCCTTCTCCCCCAGACCCTGGTTATTGTTGTTATTAGCTACTGGCAAGTTGCGCCCTGACTCATGGCAATCCCATGCACAACAGAATGAAATGCTGCCCGATCCTGTGCCATCCCCGTGATAGATTGCGAATTGGACCATTGTGATCCATAGGGGTTTTCACTGGCTCATTTTTAGAAGTAGGTAGCCAGGCCTTTCTTTCTAGTCCTTCTTAGTCTGGAAGCTCCACTGAAACCTGTGGAGGCAATATACAAGCCTACATTGACGGACTGGTGGTTACTGTGTATGAGGTTCATTGGCACTTATTAAACTTTTGTCTCTATGCATTGGCCTCTTCTAGATATTTCATATAAGTGGGGTCATACAATATTTGTCCTTTTGTGTCTGACTTATTTAACTCGGCGTGATATTTTCAAGGTTCCTTCATGTTGGCAGCATGTATCAGAATGGGTAAGAGCTCAGCTGCTAACCAAAAGGTCAGCAGTTTGATTCCAACAGCCGCTCCTTGGAAACCCTATGGGGCAGTTCTACTCTGTCCTATAGGGTCGCTATGAGTTGGAATCAACTTGACGGCAACGGGCTTACGGCTGAGTAATATTCCACTGTGCGGATATACCACATCTTGTTTATCTGTACATCAGTTGATGGACATTTGGGTTGTTTCCACCTTTTAGATGTTGTGAAGCGATTTTCTTTTTAGTTACATGTCTAATGGAAATACAAAAGCATTCTATTCTTGGAAATTGTTTTTCCTATATAAAATTTTTCTCCTTGTTTCTATTTTTCCATTTTAGTCGAGAGATGGAGAATAAGGAAACTCTCAAGGGGTTGCACAAGATGGACGATCGCCCAGAAGAACGAACAATCAGGGAGAAACTGAAGGCAACCTGTATGCCAGCCTGGAAGCATGAATGGCTGGAAAGAAGAAATAGGAGAGGCCCTGTGGTGAGTGGCTGTGGGTTACCAGCTATAATGAAGAAAGCATAGGAGGAAATGGAAAATTATGAATGAATAGATCCTCTTGTAAGCGTTTCTTCTTCATTTTACATATAGTAGTTTTATTTGCTTGATATTTTGACCACTTAGTTGAAAACATAGCTAAAACTATGCTTATTAGACAACGTAAACTGATCAAGGACCTAAACAGTGGTTGGTAGGAGATTAATGCTTAAACCAACACTGCCCTCTAATGTCAGTATCTAAAATCCTTTTAATAGTTTATATTGTACTTCTTTCTAGCTTAGAAAGAAACGCTTCTACTGAAACATCTCATAGAAGGGGACAGTCACAGAGGCAAATTTCTACCCAATCAACAAAGGATTTTTGAACAATTAAGGCTATCTGAGTTTGTGCTGCTTTCTGGGCACCTTGAACTGGAGGTATTCAAACAGAGCCTAAATCTTTTGAGAATATCATAGAACTGAAATCACAAGTTTTTTGTTTGGTTTTGTTTTCTTTAAGAACCCAACCATTATTCCTTTACTACATGTGAACTAAGAACATTCACTTATCTAAGGCCAAATTTTTATTTTCTCATTGTTGGCTTTCTAGTTTACTCACTTTGGAAGTAATTGGGTACCTAATCTGTATATAGGACAGGGGTAAAGAGGGAAGAGAGATGTGGAGTAAGACACATAACACTACCTTACAGTTTATGGTTTACAGGTTTCATATTCTTAAGAAGTTTACAGTCTACTTGGGAAGTCTGATTTTGTTTGTGTGTTTGTTTTTTTATCATGTTTTCTGTAACCTGTGCCAAATCCTTCTTAAAACATAAGCGAAACAAATAGCTGGGAAACAAATAGTGGGAAAATAAGACTTAGGCACAATAAATAAAGTAATGCAGAAAACATCACAAAGCAATTTATGATAGGGGCAACAACTTATGGTGAGTCCAGAACAAGAGTAGTGGGAAAAGGGCAGAAAAGTCTGCTGAGCTTTAACTGTACAAAGACAAAGTTTGGCCTTTTGGTCATGGATAGATTAGGTCTGAGAGCCCTAATAGTTACATAACAGCATTTGTGCTTGAGACATTGGTCTTTAAACTTCTGACTTCTTTTGGTGTTTCTGAGATATGTGTCTACACTATTGTAATAAAACATTGAGAAAAACAGAAAAAGTAAAATGGCTTTATAGACATCAGTTAGACTATTTGAGCACTTAAAATTATGCCCAGTATTTTTTTTAAATACGGGCGACAAAGAAAGCATCTATTTCAATCTATTTGAATACATTAACTGTAGAAGTTATAGTACTTATTTTTCACGTTTACCAACCTTTGATTGTTGAGTTTGAATGAGAAATGGATTAGAATATATTACAAACTATAACACCAATTATAAAATTATGAATGCTAGCATTTTAACTAGTGATGCAGCCTAAACAACTGGAATCATGTAGGTAAGAATAGTCTTTTAAACTAATGACTTAAAGTTATACTAAATAAAAGTTGATATATCATCTGATATATTTGTGTACTATTTCCTAATAAAAACTCATTGAGTTCATTTCCTATTCTGTTATGCTCTGATTTGCTTTTCATGTGTATTGTTAAGTAATTAAAATATTGGAATACTTTTGATTCAGGTGGTAAAACCAATACCTATTAAAGGAGATGGATCTGAAATGAGTAACTTGGCAGCTGAGCCTCAAGCAGAGGGCCAGATGAGTGCCGCTTCACCCGTTCCCAAAGGCCGACGCAGCCCTTCTCCTGGCAGCTCCCCTTCAGGTCGCACAGTGAAGTCAGAATCTCCAGGAGTAAGGAGAAAAAGAGTTTCCCCAGTTCCTGTAAGTTTATGTTCCAGCAAATATGTTAAGCTTCTACAATTTTCTGACTCGTTTATAATGCATAGGAGCTTGGCCAGCCATCTGTTATAGCAGCACCCTCGTCTGAGGGGGAGGGGACAACCTGAGGCCATTTCTGGAGGCCCATTAGGTCAGAACTATATTTGTAGTAAAACAGATGTTGTTTGCCTTTTTCCATTGCGTTGACATTTAAAGTGATGGTACAAAAGCAATGGTGGATAAAGCTGCTGGCCCCTTCGCCCAAATCAGGGCATGATGTTCAAAATTGTGTTCTTCACTGTCATGTACTGGCAATTAAAGAACAGATGCCAGTTTCACTTAAGAATGTCTTTGATGAAGCAGCAGAAATTAATTTTATTAAATCTCAACCATTGATACACACCTTTTTAATATCTGTGCTGAAATGGGAAGCATGCATAAAGCACTTCTGGTACATACCGAGTATTGATAGTCATCTCAAGGAAAAGCATTTGTGCGGTTTTTAGAGTTGCAAGCTGAACTAGTCACTTTTTCATGGAGCACGATTTTTATCTGAAAGAATGACTGACTGGCAAACTATGATTATTGGTACTTGGGTATTTGGCAGGCATTTTCCTGAAAATGAATTGAGACTGTCATGCCAAGGCTAACAGTTGACAGTAGTTTTCTCCCATGATAATATTTGAGATTTCAAGGAAAAATTAGAATTTTTGGATAACTCATCTCTACCACAACACACTTGATGGCTTCCCAATACTTAGATTTTTCTGATGAGATTGGTGATACTATCAAATGTGAATTTTTTTCTTTCTTTTTTTTTTTTTTGGACATTGTAAAGTGAAATGTGTCAACATTTGGGTGATCTGCGTGACTCAGTGAACCAATATTTTTCACATGACCAGTGCATGGTGATACCAAATCATGCATAGGTAAAAATATGCACACATTCAAAATGCTAAATATACCACCTGGGTTTTGGTAACGGACTAGGAAAAGTTTGTTTATGTGGTTTCAGATTCCACATTATAACTGCCTTTGGGAAACCACTTGTCAAACTTTGATGTGATAGTAAAGAGGAATGTTCATAATTTATCTGAAAAGGCTACAAAAATACTCCTCCTTTTCCCAGCTACATATCTGTGTTAGTTGTCTACAGAGTGCAGCATGGGAGGTGCTTCGTGTTCGTGTTTGTGAATTACCAGTTAGAGAAGCATATTTAGTAAAGCCTTAAGAGGAAGCCAGAAACCAAGTGTGTAATTTTTACCACTAGATACAAGTCATTTTGCTTGCTTACGATGTGTGTTTTTAAAGCTTTTTATTTTAGTTTACATAATACTTTTCAAAGAACTCAAATGTTTATAGAATAATTTAAATAATTACTATATGGTTGTGTCTTCTCAGCCAAAGATTTATCATTAATTGTAGGAATGAGTGAAATTTTAAAAGTTCACTTCATCTCAGATGAATGTGTCAGACAAAAGCATTTTGCCTAATTTTGTTCCATTATATGTATTGAGTCATTTTTTCAGAATATAATCTGTTACATAGGTGTCTTGTATGTCTTTTTTTTGGGCGGGGTGGGGGGAATGGTAAAAGTTTCTTATTGAGAAGTGAGAAACTTGCCTAAAAAAAAAAATACATTGTAAAGTTTCAGAGTGGGAGAATCACACCACCCCGAAGAGCCCCTTCACCAGATGGCTTTTCGCCATACAGCCCTGAAGAAACAAACCGCCGTGTAAACAAAGTGATGCGGGCCAGGCTGTACTTACTGCAGCAAATAGGACCCAACTCCTTCCTGATCGGAGGAGACAGCCCAGACAATAAATACCGAGTGTTCATTGGGCCTCAGGTAGGGTTTGTCAACATTTTTTATCTTATTAGTGTCTGCTAGTCAGATTTCTACACTATATCATTCTAAAATTTAGATCAGTTTAAGTCCCTAGAGCAAACTAAAGTGAGTTCAAAATGTATAGTTGGTGAAAAAAAAAATGTAATGTATTTATGCAGAGGAGCCCTGGCGGCGCAGTGGTTAAAGCAATCGACTGTTAACCGAAAGGTCAGCAGTTCGAAACTACCAGTGACTCCACAGGAGAAAGATGTGGCATTTGGCTTGCATGGAGATTTACAGCCTTGGAAACTATTGGGTTGCTATGAGTTGGGATCAACTCGACGGCAGTGGGTTTTTTGGTATATTTATGGAGGTTCCTCCTGTGACTTAACATACTTTAGAATACAAGTTTGATCTGTTTAATAAATTCATTGAAAATAAAAGATTAATTCTTGGGAATAACTATGGACTTTTCTTATAGACTTATTATATATAAGGATAATGAAGAATATAAATTAATAGAAAATTTAGCATCATAAACTTGGAGATGTAAAGATGTGGTAAACAGAAGTTCTGGTAGAGCCACGGACTTATTAGCCCATGGGTTTTCTTTTAACCCTTTAGAACTGCAGTTGTGGACGTGGAACATTTTGTATTCATCTGTTATTTGTTATGCTCCGGGTGTTTCAACTAGAACCGTCAGATCCAATGTTATGGAGAAAAACATTGAAGAATTTTGAGGTAATTTTTTTACAAATTGCCCGCAAATTTTAATTGTTTATTCCTGAGAGTTTTTCATGAGCACTAAATTTAAATAAATAATGGTCATTTTAAAGGTGTGAAAGTTTATAAGAATTGGGTGGTTATAAATAGTCCTCTTATGATCCGTTGACTAGTAAGTTTTTTAATTCTAAACTGAAAACAAAATAAAAATAAATAAACACTGGCTTGCTATAAAAATGTTGTCCTTAGTAAGCTGTATGTATTATTTTTTAAAGCAGATAAATAAGCTTTGTGGAAAATTTATGAAAATAAATCTGACCTCTAGAACTCTTTCATATGTATAAATATGGCCCAAATGTCATTGTCACTGTCTCTTTCCAATGTTAGGTTGAGAGTTTGTTCCAGAAATATCACAGTAGGCGTAGCTCAAGGATCAAAGCTCCATCTCGTAACACCATCCAGAAGTTTGTTTCACGCATGTCAAATTCTCATACATTGTCATCATCTAGTACTTCTGCATCTAGTTCAGAAAACAGGTTGGTACTTTTTAAGGAATTAAAAGCACTAATCCAGTGCTAACTTTTTAATATAGGGGTGATTTTTAAATATTACTTAAATATCTGCTTGTTAAATTACTCTAAAAATTATTTAATTATTGAAGCTTGCCTTTCAAGTTAAAATCAAGGGTAAAGAGTATTAAAGATCATCTGAGTATCAATATGGACAGTTTTGCCCTGAAAACTACAGTGTTGAAAAATAACACATTTAATGTCAGAATATAACGAATGTCCATTTTTATCATAATTCATAAGAAAAATCAAGTGGCAAGGATAAAATCTCAGTAATATTAAGTGGTTATCATTTATCAGTCATCACTGTGTGCCAAGCACCTGCCGTGTTGTCTCATTCTGTTCTTACAGCACCCTCATTGGGTGGTTTATCACTGCTTTATAGGTGATGAAGCTGAGGCACTGTGTAATGGAAGGAAATGTCCGTAGTTCTTTTATAATTATAGAAGGCAAAGCGGTTTTCTAAAATCACTTTTAAATGTAGAATTTTATACTGCATGACATTGCTGCTGTTTAGACACTTTCAGGAGATTCTCATTACAGGCTTTTTCACCTGTGAGAATGTAAGCATCCTGTTTTAAACAGACTAATCAGTTGTAATTAAGAGGTACAGTAGCTGTTAATCACAGTTATTACTGAAAATCTACAGTGCTTCTCAGACTTTTCCACTGCCTAATTGCTGATAAGAATGAACTCATAACTCTGAAGGATCTGAGATGCAGCCCCAAATGACGGATGTGAAATTGTTTCAAGTCACTAGTGTAACCATAAAAATTCATATGAATTTTCTTTCTATCATAATATTATTTTATTGGTTTTAATATAAATATAAGGGTTTTTAATTACCATCAAGTAAAATTGACATTCCAGAACGGAGTGCTGCTTCTCTTACAAGGGCACCTCCTGATGTTCCCAATGTCATTGTGCCTCAGTTTGAGAAGCACTGGTCAAAGTGATTAAGTTCCATCTTCATCCCATTGATCTTTTAAGTATTGTAACTCTCTCAAAATGCATGAAGAATAGAGAAGTGATGATATCATGACAGGGACTTGGTAAGGAGAGGAATCAAGGGAGGTTTTTTCGTCTGTGGAAAAAGTAAATGCATTTTCTTATTTTTGATTAAATGAATTGATTCTAAAATTGTAGAGTTTTATGAGTTGTTTTGGACATTAAAGATCTTATTTACATGTCTCGGTAATAACTGAAACCAAAAGAGATTTCAGCAGCTCATTTGCTCCAAGGGAGAAACAGAACCTGGGTATCTTGACTCCTAGTTCAGGACTCTGTCTCACTTGTCATCTCTTCTAAACAGAATGAAAAATTGAGCTTTATTTCTCGTTTCCTGACCCATACTTGTTCTAGAGCCTTTCTCCTTTTGATTGACATTTCTTAGCTTTTGAGTTTTTTAATAATTTATTTTCTTTTTATTGTGGAGAATATACACATCTTTTTTATTTTGGAGAAAATTGACAAATGCTGAAAACCAGGTAGCCAAAGTTAAAATATAAGTTTTCTAAGATGAAGAAAGGCAACTTCCAAATATGGGCTGGCATTAATGTGGGGTTTTCATTGATTAATTTGAATTGGTGTGTCCATGGGGGAAAACCACAGATATGTGAGATTATACTTGATATTTTGAGATTGTACAGTGTAGGTAGGTTAGTTTCTAAAGACTTAAATTTCCTTTGTGTATTTTTTTTTTTTATCTGGAGATCTAATTACATAAAATTTTAAATAGTATGTCAGGAACAGTAAAAACAGAATTAGGACAAATACTTGAAAATACTT